GTAAGGGGAACAGGGGTAGTCTCTGACATGAACTGATTGGCCTGCTCGTTGATCACCTCCCCTTGAGGGGAAAGCAGCCTTGCCAGGCCACAGATGAGGACAATGCAGCCAGTCCTGAGGAGACCTGATAAGCTAGCCTGGGATGGAAAGGGGGGAGGACCTCCCTTATCAGTGGACTGGGGGAGGGGCATGGGAGGAGAAGAGGGAGGGAGGGTGGGATTAGGAGGAAATGTGGGAGGGACCTGCAGGTGGGATACAAAGTGAATAAATTGTAATTAATAAAAATAAATTAAAAATTTATTTTTAATTTATTAAAAATTAATTTTTCTTTTATTTTATGAATTTTTTGATTAAAGTACAGTGAGAGTTTTATTAGAATTTTAGCTGTTCAGGAAGGGATACATATGTATTTACATAAAAATTCAAATGATAGATTTTAGTTAACAGAGTATAGGGACATTGAATTTTATAAGGGGACTGAGGAGATTTCTTGTTTTGGAAAATTACATTGAAGTTGAAACTTGGGAACTATGAATTGATTAGGGTGTGACATGGGGAAGAATGCATACTACTCCATGAAGAGGAGGGTCATGCGTCTAGAATGACCTTACCAGTGTGAAGACTGAAGGAAGGCTGGCTTGGTTTACTGAGGGAAGGGTTGAACCAAGTGGCAGACAGAGAGATGGGCATCGAGAAGAGTTTGTAGACGGATTGTAATGAGAGTAATGTGCGCTCGTATATATATTTATATACACACAAATTTATACATATATGAATATTTATATACACATATAAATATATAATATGTGTATATACATATTTATATACATATATGTGTAAATATATAATGTATGTATATACATATGTATATATACATATGTATATACAAATATGTATATACACATAAATATTTCTTTGAGGTTGGATTAGTTTTGGGGAGGGGTGCAAGTGTGTTGATAAAAATCAGTATAATATAAATATGATATATGAAATAAAAGGTAGTGAGAGGAAGGGTATGATTAAAGGATAGGGGTATATGTTAAAGATTTGTGCCTTAGCTAGGAGTATATGGTGATGTTAGTCTGTAGCCACTGGAATGAAAGTCACAGTAGTGTTTGCACATTTCAAAGTGTAAAAAGTGGCTGTTGAAAAATTTAAACTGCTTTTACCTCAGTAACAAACACTCAAGTGCTTACTGTGTAGATATTTAAACTCTTTTAACGCTGATGACAGCCGTGAGGTAGACACCTGGTTGCCACTTACAGAACAGGCACAGGAAGCCCTCAGTGGATCTGGGAATTTTAAACCTTCTTCTGCTGTTAACCACTGGCTAACCTTAGAAACTTTTAATCATACATTTTGCATACTGTATTATATCTTATCAGCTCTGGCCTTTCCTTATGATTTCTTAACTTGGGATTTTTAACTGTCTGTACCTATCCTACAAAGCTATTTTGCGAATTCAAATATCTTAATGGGCTGCAGCCAAACGTTATTGAAAAAGGAAATGACAATGCCTTCTTTAGTTAAATGTTGATTGTTTTTACTTCCAAAAACTCCTTCAGACTTGCTTGCTCTTTGTAATCTTTTATCACCCCTCAGAGCACATTTTGAACTAATGTTGTTCATTTGGCTATACAATGTTAAGGGTGCCTTGTGTATGACAGGAGAGGCAAAACAGGTGACCAAAACTAGATGCTTCCTTCTGTTGAAAAAAATCCTTGCTAGAGATAGAAATGCTGACCTGTGGATGGGTTTATATGGATAATATAAACCATGTAATTGTTCTGTTGTTGACTAATAACGTTCTACTATTAAGTAGGTTGGCCCCTTTCATGAGAGAATGGAGAGTCGTTGCATGGAACATAATAGAAATGAGAGGTCTCCTTGGAGTGAAAACTGATACTTAATGGACAAGCTCTAGAAAGTGTGGCTTACAATTTTTGATGTAGGAACATTGATAAAGTCTTTAGTGTTAACTTAATTGCTACATGGGACCAGGGAGTTGCTAGAGAAATTGAGCAAGGTACATATTAAAAGTTATTAGATATTTTTAGTTTTTAAAGAACAACTAAACTTTTGACAGTTGTCTCCATTTACATTTTCTGTACTTCTCCATCATTATTCAATAAAGCTCTTTCTTGAGGTGTGTGATGGTGAACAAAGAAAGGGTCCAGTTGTTTATAGAAGCTACATATTCTTAAAGTTGTGGATGTGGTGTTTGAGAAAAAGCCCTACTGGACAATAGCATCTGCCATCCCAGTGGCAGTTTCCACTGGGAAACTGTTTCCACTAAACAGTCCTGTGTACCTTGCTTTGGCAAGGGAGCTGCAAGTCTTATTTGAAAAATTCGAGACATCAATTTTAGCTTTATTGGGTCATATTTGGATACTCCTTAGAACCCTAATTTTACTCTTCAAGTTCCAGGATGAAAAATCACTATATTCTGTCTGCTTTAATCTTTGTGCTGTGGAGTAATTTTCTGGTGTGAATACAAGGAAAGTTGAACTTTAAAGTATTCAGTGAATTTGGTTTTTGCCTGTGCCTATGCCTAGCTGCAGCATTCCTAAAGTACTGGGAGTGTTTGCGGAGTGCTGGAGTGCTAGAGAACAGCTGGTGCTCACGGTTAGCTGCTCAGTCTGCCTAATCAAGAGAGAGGACCTGGTGTAGTTGCCTCTCTCTATATAAAATGGGAAATCTCACTGATAGTGTTTGTCCTGTTGTAGAAGGATTGAAAATTCCAGGAACTTGAATATCCCTTTTTTATAACTATTCTCAAGTGTGCTGCAGAGAGGGCTATTTCAAATTTTGCTTTAGGTGTGGTCCTTAAGAAGTTAGTAATGTAGAGATTAAAGTAATCTATTTCTTTCTTTTTTAAATTCTAGGTGAGGATTACGAAGATGATGACCTAGTAAACTCAGATGAGGTTATGAAGAAACCATGCCCAGTACAGATTGTTCTTGCTCATGAAGATGACCATAACTTTGAGCTTGATGAAGAGGCTTTGGAGCAGATATTGCTACAGGAGCACATACGGGATCTTAACATAGTTGTGGTATCTGTGGCAGGAGCTTTTCGGAAAGGGAAATCATTTCTCCTGGACTTCATGCTTAGATATATGTATAACAAGGTGAATAGTGTCTTTTAAACTGACCCCAACTAATATAAAAATTGCCAGCCAACTAAAAAAAAGACAGAGGCCACAATTTTATATTTAATTTCTAGCTATGTCCCAAATACCCTGCGAGATCACTGAGGTACTGTGTATACCTCCCCACCTTTGTTATTTCTTTATTTTTCCTGTTTTGGCCACGAATAGTGAGTGAAGTAGGGGATAGAGACCTTGCGAAAATACATCTATATCCCTCACATTGTCACTTGTAGATGCTAAAGTTCAGTTCTTTACAGAGGTTTCCATGCTGTCTGAGCCTCATGTCTTCCTGTAAGTCAAATGTACTATAGTTTTTTTTTTGGCATATTCGTGGCTGATCTTTTCATAATATACTTCTGAGCTGTTATGTGCCCTTCCCTACTTTCAAGGTTTAGGTATTGTTTGTTTGGCTTGGTTTTTCGAAACAAGGTTTCTCTGTGTAGCCTTGGCTGTCCTGGAATCACTCTGTAGAACAAGCTGGTCTTGAACTCACAGAGATCTGCCTGCCTCTCCCTGAGTGCTGGGAATAAAGGCATATGCCACCACCACCCCACTAATGGTTCAGGTATTTTAACTAATGGTGCTTGTTAGTTGTTCTTTTTTTTTTTTTTTTCCTGGCTATTTTACGGTCTCAGAAAAATCCCTTTCTTGATTATGTAACTCTAGCTTCTACCAAAAACATTTTTAGTAGGCATGCTTTGCCTGTTTTGATAGGTGCATTTCCCTTCCTCTACACCTTCCCACTTTCAGATGGTATGAGAGTTTTTATCTTTTTCTTCCCTGAAGAAAAGTGGAGGGAAATGATTCACTTTAATCAGAATGCTTTTTTAATAGCTAAAATTTGAGCAGAGGGAATGGGAATTTGACAGGGAGCAACAGGAAGGTTTTGGGAATTTTTAGAGTAGGACACTAAGGTGGAATTGCTTTACAGGGAACCCTGACATTCAGAAGCTACATGAAAATACTAACGTGACACTTAGCTGAATTTTGACTCTCACCTTTATAGTGCATCTGTCTTGAAATAAGAAAGAAGGTAAACATTCTCATTGGGTTTTCCAAGAAGCATTGCAGTAATTTCTTTCATAGGAATCGCCAGGCATTCTTTCTTTTCCTTTCTTCCTTTCTTCCTTTCTTCCTTTCTTCCTTTCTTCCTGTCTTCCTTCCTTCCTTTCTTCTTCCTTCCTTCCTTCCCTCCCTCCTTCCCTCCTTTCCTTCTTTTTCTCCTTCCTTCCTTCCTTTCTTCCTTCCCTCCTTCCCTTCTTTCCTTCCTTCCTTCCTTCTTTCCTTCCTTCCCTCCTTCCTTCCCTTCTTTCTTCCCTTCCTTCCTTCTTTCCTTCCTTCCCTCCTTCCTTCCCTCCTTCCTTCCCTTCTTTCTTCCCTTCCTTCCTTCTTTCCTTCCTT